AGACATCTTCAACTACTGAGAAAACTGCAACTACTGAGACAATCACATCCACTGCAACTACAGTAACATCAGCAAGTAACATTATCATGGAAGAAGAAGTGGATGGTCTTATCGATTTAGGAGTAGTTATTAGAGAAGCAAATGGCTCTTGGGACAAGTTGAGGTCACTGGTACAACATCTTCCTGATGAAAAGAAAAAGCAGTATCTCTCTCATCATTTTAAGCCTTCGCATGGTGACACTCTCCACTCCCACCCTGTCACAAAGAAAGGCAGAACCTGGAAAGTTTCTTTCCAGCAGCACTGGCTACTTGAATTTACTTGGCTCTCTTATAGCCATTTGCTTTCAGGGGGGATTTGTAGGCATTGTATTCTGTTTCCAGAGCAACCAGAAAGGGGAGATGGTTTAGGGCAAGGCAATAGATCTGGAACATTTATTTTATCTGCTTATCAACATCCATATAGTAAGGCTCTTGGCAAAGATGGTGTACTTGTTTCACACAGCAAAAGCATAATGCATGTTCGTGCTACTGAAAGAGCGGATCTTTTTCTTCGTAACTTCCATCATAGCAGTGAGAGAATAGATTCTAGATTGTTGCAACAAGGTAACCATTTGGCTGATGAAAACAAGCATATTCTTACACAAATTGTGTTAACTGTGGAGTTCTTAGCTAAACAGGGCCTTCCATTCAGGGGTCACCGTGATGATAAGGTAGATTTTTCTCGGGAAGATACGAATAGAGGTAATTTTATAGCTGCTCTGCAATATAAAGCTAAAAGTGACTCTATTTTAATGAAACACCTTACATCTGCAAGAAAAAAATGCAAAATACACCAGCAAAACCATCCAAAACCAGATTATTCACATCTATGCTAACAAAGTTAGAGAAAACATCACTTCACAGATTAGACAGAATGATTTACCTTTTACTATCATTGCTGATGAAACCACTGACAAGTTTTCAAATCAGGAAATTCTCACTTTATGTCTTCAATTTCTTGATCTCACATCAGCATCACCATCTTCATCATCTAACCCACAGATTAAGGAATGTCTTGTATCATTTATACACCTGGATAGAGCGAATGCAGTTGGAATTTCAAAAAAAATACTTGAGGCTCTTACTCACCCTTCTCTTTCTCTAAACATTCATAAAATATGCGGTCAAGCATATGACGGTGCTGCTGTAATGTCATCTGATAAAGCTGGGGTACAGGCTAAAATAAAAGAAGTCAGTCCGATGGCATTGTACACACACTGCTACTCACACAGTCTTAATTTGTCCATTGCTGCATCATGTCAAGTTCAAGAGGCCAAAAATCTAATTGACATAATCAATGAAGCACATCTATTCCTTTCTAACAGTCCAAAGAGACAAAGCATGTTTGAGCTGACCATCACAAAGTTATTGCCATCATCAGAACACAGCAAATTGCCTGGATTGTGTAAGACTCGTTGGGTTGAGCGGCACACATGCTTTGAAGTTTTTCTTGAACTATATGAGCCACTCATTACCTTTCTAGATGCTATACTGTCTCCTCGAGAATATCCAGAGCTAGTTTCATCTTGTGGCAGCTGGAACTGGGATAGTGAGACCAGGATCAAGGCACAGGGTCTCAATCTTCTTTGTCCTCCTTTCTCACAATTGCTACTTTTATCATTACCAAGACTGTACTAGATGAAGCAAAATCTCTCTCTGCTAAGCTGCAAA